CTTCGCATAGCCAACTACGTGGCAGTACTTGCAAATCATGATTTCGATAGTTATGCCAAACTCATGCATAATATTGCAGAGAACAAAAGACCTATCCTCAAGGCAATCATCGAAGAGGGATATACTATATCCTGCACAGCATTACAAACGGCCCTTGATGCTGCAGATATGGCTGCAAGAGCTACTGTGATGTCTGTGGTTTGGATCTCCAGGCCAAAGTAGAGGACCTGCCATTTGATAAGACCAAATTATTTGCTACGGGTACCAACAAAGCCTTACGCTCTAGCAAAGATTCGTGCACTGCCTTGCGTACATTGGGGATGTACACTCCACCCTACCAAAGGAAGTGCTACACACTTTACCAGACACACAGGGGAACAGCCTTTGCTAGATAACAACAGTACTGGCCTTTTGAACAGAATGGCTTCCGATTGAGAAACTAACATAGAAGAGTCACTAACATGACTCAAGCCTCTAGGCAGCATGTTTGAGAATTTGGTTGAGGGTCTGCCCGACCTCCCTTCCACTCCAGTACCTGGCAAATACAATACATTTCACCACCGGTTGCGCCCCTATTACAATCAATGGGCAGCAATCACCACAAAAATCATCAGCCAAGGATAGTCTATCCTCTTCACAGAAATCCCCCCAACCTACCCACCATCTCCCTCCCTCTTCAGGAACCCCCTCATGACACATTGCTCTGTTACGATGTTCAAACCTCAGTATAGAAGCTGTAGAATGAGTCCCAGAAAAATTCAAAGGGAGAGGTTTTTATTTGAATTATTTTCTCATCGAGAAGAGGTCCGGGAGTTGGAGGCCCATCTTGGACCTGTGGCAATTAAACAAGTACCTTCACAAGCAGCAATTCAAAATTATTACTCTCGCCACTGTAATTCCAGCACTGGACAAAGGGGACTGGTTCACAGCCCTCGACCTTCAAGATGTATATTTTCATGTCACAATATATCCCACACACAGGCGTTCCCTACGATTCATGGTAGCTTCACAGCATTTCCAGTACAGAGTTCGGACTCTCCTCTGCTCCCAGACTCTCATGGTGGCAGCTGCACATCTCAGACTTAATGGCATCACAATATACCCCTATCTGGATGATTGTCTTATCAAGGGCCCCTCACAATGGGCTACAAGACGCATGGTCAGGTTTACAAAGGCCTTTCCTCAGTTGCTAGGCTTCATTATCAACAAGCAGAAATCCATACTATGCCCCATGCAATCCCAAGAGTTCATAGGGGCTCACATAGATTCCATAACACGAGCTGATCGTCCCAGCACGAGCCTATTGTCCCAAGCCTATCGTCCCAAGCAACTTAAGAAGCCTCGTCGCTATCACCACCAGCCCAACCATGCCCATCCTAACTAGCCTCAAGCTTATGGGACACATGGCGGCCACCACATACATAGTTCTGCACACCAGGCTGTGCTTTTGATGTTTCCAATACCGGATTTCTTCTGTGTGCATGCCAGCTAGCTGCCACATCCACAGGCACATCTCACATCCTCCACTGGTCCTTACCTCCCTGCGACAGTGGACCCAGGCACAGGACCTCTGCAAAGGGGTGCCTTTCCTTCAAGATCAGCCGTCCAAACAGATTACTCTGGATGCCTCGCTGATAAGCTGGAGTGCACGCTTCCAACAGCAAATCATGCAAGGGTCCATAGACGAGGCGAGACTCCACGTAAACCTGCTTGAGGTTCGAGCAGTTCACGACGCATGCAAGCACTTCCACACATCCAGTGCTCTTCGGTGCGTATCCTCACCAACAACATGACTTACCATGTTTTACATCAGTTGCCAAAGGGGTGCGAGATCCCAGTCGTTATGCACAGAGGCAATCAGGCTATAGAATTAATGTATCCGCCACAACATAACCATCATGGCAGCATGCTTACCTGGGGGCAAGAAAATTACGGCAGATACCCTCAGCCACAACTTCCTCACAGAACACGAGTGGGATCTGCATGATTAGATCACCCATGAGCTGTTCCAGTGCTGGGGGCCTACCGCAGATAGACCTTTTTATGCCCAGACGGAACTGCAAATACCCCCAATACTGTTCAAGAGTGGGCATAGGACATGGCTCCTTAGGAGATGCAGTGCTCCTCACTTGGGGGACCCATCTACTATATGCCTTTCCTCCTATTCCTCATTCCCAGAGTCCTCTGGAAGGTACAGTCAGACGGGGCCCAGCTGATTCTAATAGCCCCAGTGTGGCCTCGACCTTTATCAACTATCTCTACGACCTCCCTGCCTGCTTCGTTCTCTCCCAGAACAAGGGCTCAATATTTCATCCCCAATCGCAAACACCCGATGGCTTGGTACCTATCCGATTCTTGGAAGTGGAGCAACAGTGCTCCCAGCAAGTGAAGAATGTCCTATTGCATAGCAGGAGACAAATGACACACAAGACTTACCTGTACAAATGCAACGGTTTGCACAATAGTGTACACACGGGAGTCCAACCTTCTAGAGTGCCATTCCACCTGATACTAGAATACATTATGCACCTGAAACAAAAAAAATGTATTGCTCTCATCACTCTGAGTGCACATGATGGCCATTACAGCCTTCCATCCCCATTGATGGGTTCTCCATATTTTCCCACCCCCTCTCTAAAAGATTCTGGAAGGGCCTACAAAACCTTCACCCACTGTGTATACCCTTACCTCCCACATGGAACTTAAATTGGTCCTTCACTCAGTCAGAAAACCACCCTTCGAACCAATGGCAACTTCATCACTTACCTGCCTCACCATGAAGATGCTGTTCCTGCTGGCAATCACGTCTACAAGGCTGGTTAGTGAGCTTGTAGCGCTCACAGCCTCGCCTCCATATACGACTATTCACAGTATAAAGTTATTCTACGGCTCATCCATCCTTTTTACTTGAAGTTGGTTTTTAATTCCATATCAATGAGCTGATGGTCCTACCTACCTTCCCCTCCAGGGAAGAATCCATACAATATACTTTGGACATTAGAAGGGCAACTGTCTTCTATCTGGATAGGATTTGTTCCTTTCACATATCCCAGAGATTGCTGGTATCCCTGGTTGAAAGGTCCAAGGTAAAACCACTGTCTTCCCAGCGCATATCAAAGCTGATAATATCATGCATTACTACCTGCTACTCGCCCCAGAATAGATCATTATCAGTGACTCCAAAGACCCATTCTGCCAGAGCAAAGGCAACATCAGCTGCTTTCCTCAAGGGGGTGTCGCTCCAGGAAATATGCAGAGCAGCGACATGGTCATCCAACCATACTTTCATTTAGCACTACGCCATTCCACCATTCTCCACAACAGATGTCACAGTAGCCACCACAGTTCTCTCCACAATCTGTAGCAATTAATCAAAGCTCACCATCCATGTAAATGGCTACTACTACGCAGTGAAGCACCAAAGGGGACATCACTCGAAGAAGAAAGAGAAGTTACTCACCCTGTTCAGTAACAATTGTTCTTCGAGATGTGTCCCCCTGTGAGTGCTCCACTATCCACCCCCCTCCCCACTTCTTTGGGCAATAATAGCAGCGCACAAGGGCCTCAAAGAAGAAACAGAGGGGAAAGCGGGAACGCCACTCTCTGCTTGCGCATGCTCAGTCCTCCTGATCGCTGCATGAAAGTCTCTGATCTGTGATGCCGGGACAAGCCCAACACCAACAGTGGAGCACCCAAGAGGACACACATTTTGAAGAACAACTGTTACTGCACAGAGTGAGTAACTTTTTTCTTTTTTATCTCTCCCACAAAGAGAACAGGCAAGTAATCTTATACGATTCAAATTCCATCCCTCTATCTCGATTGGTTCTCCCAGTCCTCTGGCCAACACCTTTGCTAGCTACCTGAGCTTAATCCCTTAGTCACTGTGTGCTGGTCAGCACTCCTGTCCATTACAGTCTCGAAGAACCATCATTACTGTACAAGGTGAGTAACTTCCTCTTATGGAAATAGTGAGGAAATACTTGGGAACAGTAATAGTGGTGTGAGATAGGAGCACAGTTCCTGCGGCCCTGGGGAGGGGTGTCTTCACCCTTTCGCCAAGTTCAGTCATTTCCCAACCTCTTCCCTCCCTCTGTCCTGCCCCACCCCCCACATTGCACCTCTTTCCTCAAGCTCTCTCCCCCAAGGGGTGCTGCCTGGGGGATTATTAGTTGGCCTGGTGTGGGTTGGCAGTAGGGGTACCCCCCCTACATACACGCACTACAATGGCAGGAGCTGTGGGGAAGTCGAGTGACGTAGGAGCCTCTGCTCTGTTGCCATCTTCTGAGCCAGCCCGGTTGCTCTGCTGTGGGCCACGGGGATGTACTGGCAGTGGCACAAAACTAGCAGCCAGAAGTTGTTCTAACCATGCTGTAGTACTGGTGGTGGCACCAGGCCCCTAGGGATTTTTTTAAACCATCCAGAGCCAACAGGTGTGTGGAGTTGGATGTACGGAGGCCCCTTCACCCTGAGTTGTGCCAGAGCAGGTATCTGCTATCCCACTAGGAGGATTTGAGGACTGGAACTGGCCCTGTGGTAAATTGAGTTTGAGACCCCTGCCTTGCAACTAGGGGTTTATAATATGGATGGTCAGGCTTTTAACAAATTAGGATTGACGAAATATTGCTATGGACGGGGGCAAAATGGAAGTTCTCTGCTGCCTCTGAATTTGAAAGATAGTCCTATATATAGAAATCTTTCTGATTTCTCCTCTAGCTGAGAATTTCTATCTTGGTGCTCAATGTCAGGAATAAAACAATTTAGTTTAGTCTGCACACTGAGACATGTTTTGTGTGAGCCCTTGCCAACTGTGTTATGACTGCCTTTTGTGGTTGATATATCAATTCAATTATCTAATATATTTTCTGGTTTTAAACTCAGCTGGCTTGTTGGATGTTGTGGTATCGCTGAAGAAATGACTTTCACGCAGCGCAAACCCAAACACAACTCTAGGTTGAAGTAAAATGCTAACTAATCTTTTTTCCTTTTCTTTCCAAAAGCTTGTACAATGAGGATAGAAATTTGCTCCGGATCAGAGAGAGAGAAAGGCGGAATCAGGAGGCTCTTCAGGAGAGGGAGCCATTCCTAGAAAATGCCCCCCTCTTTGCAGAACCTTACAAGGTATTGATATTGTATCATGTTGCAGAGATCGGGGGAAGGAGGTATGACCTTCATGTGCACTGGAACAACTTTACATGTTCAATAGAACCTCATCAATGTTCATTGCAACCCCAGTTGTTTAGCTTTACATGTTATTAAATGTTAAATTGGGAAACTTTGCTAATGGTGTAGTGGGGATGGCCAAATTGAAACCTCATGGTCTCTATGAACAAGCTGATGAGCACTTGTGACTCACAAGTACTGTCCATCCATTTCTAGGTCCCACTTGAAACAGGGAGATCAACTGGTGATTTGGGGAACTGCAGAAGTCCCAATTGCACCCTTTTCTCATATAGTTCAACCCTTGTGCAAGCAGTTTCTTTCATAGACAGAAACTTCATGCATGAGTAAATGCTACCCAAGGGACAGTGAAGCATGCGTAATTGTAGCCCAAAATTGCGATAAAGCAGTATCTACTGAAAGTAAACTACTTACTGATATGCCTTTTCTTGAATCAAATTTTGGTTATCTTTTTAATTCTTTTATTTTCTCCTCTTTTTCCTGTTTCAGACTAACAAAGGAGATGCATTGTCCAGTCGAATTCAGAACATGCTGGGTAGTTATGAAGAGGTAAAAGAGCTAATCAGCACCAAGTTGCATCAGAATCTCATAGGGATACCCAAGAGCGTTGTTCCTCAAATTCTCCAGGGAAAGCCTGATCGCCCATTCTTTCCTGAAAAGACCAGCAGTATATTACCAACCTCATTCCAGCAAAACAACCGCCACCAGCTAATGGGCTCTTTGGCTCCTCCTTCTGCTAGTAACTCCATCCATTATCCAAAGACACAATCAAGAATTGAACCTGCTGCAAGTTTTTACACCAAAACCCACACTTTGTCCAGTGCTCACAGCCAAGGCTCTGAACAGAGATGTGGTGGTCAGGAAAGCCATCATGGTGATTGCCACAAGAAAAATGATAGCTGCGTTGATAAAGATAGAACCGATGAACTGCAAGCAACCCTTTCAGAGCTTTCTCCCTTGCTATCCTCTTTGACTTCTCCAGTGGCACCCCTATCACCTCTACATTCCAGTCAGCATGTCCATTCCAGGTCACAGAACAGTGACAAACCTCACAGGCAGACTTACAACCGAATGGAATCTCCTCAGGACTTAATGGCAGGATTGCACGATAAAGAATCCCGGGACACTTCAGCCATTAATCTGGTCATTGCCACCCAACCATCTTCTCAAACATTTCCTCCAGCCTTGCCATCAAAAAACAGTGCAATGCAGCAGAAACCTACTGCATATGTAAGACCAATGGATGGCCAAGATCAGGCACCAAATGAGTCACCGGAGCTCAAGTCACTTCCAGAGGACTACCCTGGGCAGCCGTATGGGAAAATAGCAGATTTAAAGGCAAATGCTAAGGCCAAACTATCCAGATTGAAAATACCATCTGCGCCCATTGAGGTGAGTGAAATTGCTGTTCTTTTTCTGAGCAGTAGCTGCCAAGAGAATAACGTAAACTGAACATGTAGGGGAGTAGAACCTTTAGGGAAAGGGGCTGCTGGAAGAATTTATTGTTCTGCACTTCATCATGTTGTGTGAGATCAGAGATTTGAGAGAACTCTGTGATTGGATAGGGAAAAGACGGCACATTGTTTTGAAATACTTCTTAGGTATCATGCAGCTGCACCACCCTAAGCTACCCAGTGTAGCTTCTCTAAATTGACTAGAGAGAGCTCTCTGATCAGCTTAATTTCTCTAGCTCCCTGTTAGCAGCAGTACAACCGTACAGCTCTCCCATCTGCCAACTGAAGTAGTTTATGTAACCCCCTTTTTCCTTCCTAGGTTACTCGGGAGCATGTTACACTCACAGGTGTGCCTGGGCGCCTGATGTGTTTTAATATAAAAATCATGAGTGGTGTGGAGAGGGCCGATAAAGAAAAGTTATTTATTAGTTCCCTAAATAGAAGAACTAGAGGACACCAAATGCAATTAATGGGTAGCAGGTTTAAAACTAATAAAAGAAAGTTCTTCTTCACACAGCGTGTAGTCAACCTGAGGAACTCCTTGCCAGAGGAGGCTGTGAAGGCTAGGAGTATAATAGAGTTTAAAGAGAAGCTAGATAATTTCATGGAGGTTAGGTCTATAAAAGGCTATTAGCCAGGGGATAAAATGGTGCCTTGGTCTCTGTTTGTCAGAGGCTGGAGAGGGATGGCAGGAGACAAATCGCTTGATCACTGTCTTCGGTCCACCCTCTCTGGGGCACTGGTGCTAACCACTGTCGGCAGACAGGATACTGCGCTAGATGGACCTTTGGTCTGACCCAGTACGGCTGTTCTTATGTTCTGATGTTCTTATGTAGCTATGTCAAGGTGAGAAACTCTCCTAGTGATATGATGCAGTCCGCACCAGCGCTTAATTACCCCTCTTAGCAAGAAAATTTATGTTGATCTTAAGGCACATCCCTGAGTGACATAAGGGTCTCTAACCTTTTAAAGCACGAGATCACTTTTTGAATTTAAGTGCAATCCAAGATCTACCTCAAATATAAATACCCTTGCCCTACTTCCTTCCCACCCCTGCTTACTGCATCCTGCCTCTCTTGCTTTTCCTCCCTCACTTTCACCAGGCTGGGGCAGAGAGTTGGGGTCATGCTCTGGTCTTGGATTAAGGGATCTGGAGTGTGAGAGGAGCCCTGAGGGGCTCTTGAGGCAGGCAGTTGGGATGTAGAAAGGGGAGTTCTAGGTGCAGGTCTGGGATGGTGTTTGGATGCAGGGGTGCTCGGGGCTGGGTCAGGGGCTTGGGGTACAGGAGGGAGTTCGTGACTGGGGTAGGAGTTTGAGAAGCGGGCTCCAGCTGGGCACTGCTTACCTCAAGGTGGCTCCTGGGTGGTGGTGCAGTGGGGCTAAGTCAGGCTCACCCCTGCCCTGGCCCTGCACAACTCCCCAGAAAACTCCCAGAAGCGGCCTGAGGCTGACTGCAGCAGCTGGTGCCCCAGGCAGAAGGTGCGATCGACGCCCCTGCCTGCACGGCCGTCAATGGCCGTGATGTAATCACGGGGCTCCCAAGGCAACTGCCTAGTTTGCCTAGCCTCACAGGCCGCCCTTGCAAACTCCATCATGTTGTGCCCCCTGTCTGCTCTGTAGAGAAAGGTTACAGAGTAGGAGGGGGCTCCCTGACATCAGCACCCTGTTCTCCACTGCACAGCAAGCAGGAGGATCCCCCGGGGGAGGGGCAGCTTCAAAGTAAAGGGCTGGAAATGCACAGCAGTGGGGGGAGGGGCAGCTGGAGTCCTGGCACTTGAGAGTCTCTTACCAAACTAGTCAGGGTCACCTGTCAGAGGTTCCAAGATCTACCAGTAGATCCTGATCTACTGGTTGGTGACCACTGCCTTATACAAACTTCAGAAACATTGCTGCTGCCTTGCTGATGCTACTGAAATTTGGAAGGCACTTCAGGAGACATTCACGAAAGAAATACCTCCTCAGAATGTTAAGCTCTGAGCAATAAAGAAGCAAATGGAGCAAACACTAACGCTATCTCCTTCACTTGCAAGCACTTTAACCCCTGGTATAAAGGTAGACACAGATCTTCTGAAAATGATGCTGCTGCCTCAGTTATTTCAGGAAGGAGCGAAACCATTTAATCAGTACATCTTTACTGATGATGTTTTAAACAAAGTCACTCTCCTGAATTGGTAGAAATCATTGACCAGGTCCCTTGAAACAGTTGTTCAGTTGCTAAGCCAGCTTTTCACAGCAGTAGCGTCCTCTGTAAGCGCGGAGAGAATGTTTTCATTATTTGGTAATTCGCTCAAAACTGAGAAATTGACTGTGAGTTGAAAAAGCAGGACATTTCTCATTTCTGTTTCAGTCTATAAATCAAAATGACCATGGGAGTGGGGAAGATGAGTTAATTGTAGAAGTTTTAATGACACTGCACATTTAGTGTTGTGACTTGTCTGTTAGTTAATAAAATTTGAATATTAAAAAAAAGTTTAAGGACAACTATCAGCTGGCAACTCAAGAGACTGCTTTAATTGCAAGTGTGAAACATTTATGTAATATTTAAGCTTTAGTTTAATAAAATGTGCTGCTATTGTGTTTGTCTGCAATTAGTTCTTGTCATTCCTAATGTACTGCTGCTGCATCTGCAGCTTGACACACGTGTAATGAGTATGATGTACTAGTTCCTAACTTGATTTTATTAATTTATCTTAAATATTACACAAATTATACCCTTTTAAATGTTGTAAAGTGCTATACTTAGTAGTAAATACAAGTTTTAGTGATCACATTTGAACCATTGCTTTTAAGAAATATTTGAAACGTATCAGTGTGAAATTTGATTTAAATCAATGATTTTGTCTGTTATTTAAATCATGATTTATATCAACGATTTAAATCACTCTGCCCTGATAAAGAACCTCATCTCCAATTATGCTTCAAGATATATTTCATGATCTGATCTCAAACACTTTATTTCTGAATATGCTGAATGATTATCAGATTTCACAGTTGTATTTAGTTTGTAATCACTGTGAAATGCTTTGATAGATATGTGCATTTGATATAATGGTTCTGTTCAGTCTAGTAAAAGAAGTATAATTTTTAGATCATGAAGAAGTCTTATTGTTCTAACCTACTCATTACAAATTATTGTAGTAAAAATGCTTTTACTACTTAGGCATAGAGTCTCTGAGCACTGGAAACAGAGAGATTCATTCTTTAGAAGCTATCTAAGTAGAATCTTTAATGATTGAAATTAGTGTGGGGTTTTTTTTTTAAACAAAACTTCTACCTGAAGTGCTGTGGCATCAGGCTAAAAGTTTTGACAGGAAACGGGGGTTAATTTTTCTTTTCAGGAGAGCTACCATGAATGTCCTCATTTTTATTGAGGCAGAGAAGGAGAAATGAAATTAAAATTTAGGAGCTTCTGGGTCTCTGCTTCTGCTGTTTCACACAACCCTGAAGTACTGATTGAATGTGACCTGATGGAATTTGATTTATTCCTGCTCTGCTCCTGTCTGCTACCTATATTTGGCACATTCTGATTTTTTTTATTTGTTCAGCCCCAATTATGCATAATCCAAATCCAGTTTTTCCTATTGTCTCTTGGTATTATTTAAGAGGGTTTTTCTATGAAATAGCTAATTGAATTTCCAAGGCCTGTATGTCACCTGCAACTGCAAATTCATTGATGACAGCTTCTGCTCATGGCAACACTGACAAATTTAGCCTGGAGATTGAATAGACAAGCAGCTTCACTGTAGACTGCATTAATCCACAGTGGATAACTGTTCATTTTTCACTTCCATACAGCATTTAAGAGGGTTTTTCTATGAAATAGCTAATTGAATTTCCAAGGCCTGTATGTCACCTGCAACTGCAAATTCATTGATGACAGCTTCTGCTCATGGCAACACTGACAAATTTAGCCTGGAGATTGAATAGACAAGCAGCTTCACTGTAGACTGCATTAATCCACAGTGGATAACTGTTCATTTTTCACTTCCATACAGCAA